TTTCTCAGAATTCTGATTTTTTTCCCATACTAAACTGAAATGAAATGTAAAAATCAGTTAACTTTTTTTTTTTTCCACTGGCCCTAATCCTCTTCCGTATTTTTGGCGAAAAGATCTTTATCACAAACATAATTAAAGTGCAGAAATAGGAAGATTTGTATTAACTATACACTGGCTAGTGATAGTCGGCATCAGTGATGAAGTCACGCTGCGTAAAGAAACAGTCCTGAAAGTGAAAGAAGTGTGAAAGCTCACATTTTACCGAGAAATGAAACCAAGCCGGATGATGATATTAACTTCCTGTTTTCAGTGAGGAACCTAACGGTGCCTGTCAGTCTTAGGTTTCTATTTCTCCACCTCCGGTAGAAGGTAAGATCTTGTCTTTTACAGAGACTAACCGTGCCTTTAAAATGCTTTTAACAACTGTAAAATAATGCAAACGATCATTTAAAAGCCTATATTTGAAATAGTTTTGTCTAATTTTTTAGAAGTTAGTTAAAGAAAAGTTTTACTGAATCTTTTTTTTTTTTTTTTTTTTTTTTTTTTTTTTTTTTTTTTTTTTACAACATCTTTCTGTTTACCGTAAGTCCTTTGTTTGGTATTAATATTTTCCATGTTGGGTCGTTTTGATTTAAAGCATATTTAAAGATCTAAATCTGTGCAATGAGCTGAATGAACTGCTTTATCTTGCAGCTATGGGATGTCAAGCATCTAAGCGTCCAAGTCAACGCTCATGTAAGCTTCAGTGATGCAGAGATCTTTATTTACCTGAAGATGACTCACTGCTGACTGATTCTCTCCACTTTTTCCTGGTTAGACCTTCCTAAACCATGGCTGCAGATAGACTGGGGGTGAGATCTGTTGGTTTGGGCTCAAAGTTGTGTAGATCTGTCAACTAGAAGTATTCCTGTATTAGTAATAAGTTTTTACATTTTTCAGTTTCACCAGCAGATGTCTCCAACTTCCACATAATATCAATAAAATACTGTTTTGTTTTCCTGAGTAGAGCCAAATCCTCTAAACTGGAGTTCCTAAAGGGTTTCCAACCTCAGGCTGAAGGTCAGCAGCTCAGGATTCTTCTCCATGGTCCACCTGGAGCTGGAAAGTCCAGCTTCATCAACTCTGTCAACAGTGTGTTACAGGGAAAAGTGATCCGCATTGCTCCTGTGAATAATGCTGCTCAGGCCAGCTTCACTAAAAAGGTAAAACAAGAGAAGGAAATTATAATCTTAGATTAAAAGCTGTTTGTGTCACCATACGTCTTTGATTGATCTGCAGAACACAAGTTACAGGATTAAGAAACCAAATGAGGAAAGTTTTTACCCTTTTGTGTTAAATGACACAATGAGCCTGAAGACAAAAAGCAGCAGGAGAGTCAGAAGGGTTCACGTAAAGGACATGAAAAAGGCGATGAAGGGCCACATCAAAGATGGCTATACGGTAAAGTCTCTACGAAACGGGAGAACAATTTTTATCTGATTTAAATCTGAAATATTTGTTTTTAGAGTTTTTTTATTATTTATTTTTAGTTTAATCCTGAGTGCAGTTTGTCCAAAAGTGATGGATACTACAATACTTCTCCAAACGCCGATGACAAAGCGCACATCCTGGTATGTGTGATTGATGCTACCTCAGAGCTGAGAAACGATGTCATTGAAACAATTCAGGACATCAGAGATGACGCCACAGATCTGGGTGAGACAACACACAGTTCTTTTCCTTAATGGAGGATTAGGTCTTCCGCAGATGAAGCTTAAAGGGGTCATAGAACACAAAACTGAGTTTCCATAGATGAATAACGATAGTTCAGTGGGTGAAATGGACGTACAGAGAAGCTCAAACCCCATCGACACCTCCTTTCTCTGCAAATCTCACTATTCTAAACTTCACCATAAAATGGGCGAATCAAAACGAAGCCCCGAGCTGACATAAAATTGTAGATGTTGCGTTATTTGGTTCTGGCCTTTACTTTTGTCACGCCCCGAAATTGACATCCAGACCAGCCCACTGGTTCACTAACCTGACTCCGCCAGATGGATTTGCTCCGCATATCCATCTGGAAACCTTCCGTTGAAGTAATTTTGGAAAGGGGAGAAAATACTGGTTAGCTGATTGGCCTATGTTGGTGATAGACGGGCCAAATAAACCAATCAGATCAACGAAGCATATGACGTACTAACAGAGC